CTTTCACTTCACTTTGATTTGAACTATTGATGCCTTAATGGATTATGGGAGCAGAGAGGGATATTTAACCTTTTGGTTAAAATAGTATGGGAGGGTTAACTAGTGCCTTGGTTGATCCCAGGGTCGAGACCTTCAAGAAAAATCCCAGGATCATAGGGGCCCTAAGCCAGCTTTGGGCTTCCTTGGTGGCTCAGTGGTAAAGAATCCACCTGCAATGCAGGAGAAAAGGGTTCAATCCTGGGTCAGAAAGATCCCCTGGAGAAGGAACTGGCAACCCACTCCAGTATTATTGCCTGGAGGATCCCATGGACAGAGGAGCCTCGTGGGCTACAGTCCATGGGGTCGCAAAGAATCGCACACGACTGAAGTGACAGAGCGTGCATGCAAGGCAGCTTTGAGAACGCCTTGCCTAGTTTATGCCTTTCTTTTACAAACATGGAAACTGAAGTCGAAAGAGGAGAAAGTCTTTAGGGTCACTAGGTAACATGGAAATTAGGGTTTAGGAAACAAATACAGGTAATCAGAGATTGGGCTAAAATCAGGAATCGTGGCATTTGCTGTTATTCCGTGGCTGGGGCTCTCCAGAACACCTGGAACTGAGCAAGTATGCAAAGATCTATCTAAACTTTGAGAGAACCATGTCAGGAATGGATTAGTGATGTCTGCCTTGGCACTTTCGGAGGAGGCAATGGCACCCCACTCCAGTACTCTCGCCTGGAAAATCCCATGGATGGAGGAGCCTGGTAGGCTGCAGTCCATGGGGTCGCTAGGAGTCAGACACGACTGAGCGACTTCACTTTCACTTTTCACTTTCATGCATTGGAGAAGGAAATGGCAACCCACTCTAGTGTTCTTGCCTGGAGGATCCCAGGGACAGGGGAGCCTGGTGGGCTGCCGTCTATGGGATCGCACAGAGTTGAACACGACTGAACCGACTTAGCAGCAGCAGCAGCCTTGGCACTTCATTAAAGACAAAGTCAGGAAGGCTGGAATCATGGATAGCTCAAGTTTTGTTACCCTCAGGCTGGAATTTGGAGGGACAGTGAAGGAAGATCACCCGTGATGAAACAATGTAGTGTCTGGTTTGAAGTTTAGGTACCCCCTCCACCACCCCAAATTACCTTGTTGCTCTATCTTTCTCTCTCAGAATTCTATCATACTGCTTTGGAATCCCCATAACCTAGTAGAATGCGCACACACTTTATTTTACACAGCAGACAATTAAAGCAAACATTCTGGATCCTGCTCCAAATTTTGCCTTTAGCATCTTGTCTCTCCTAGTACTAAGGTCCCACTTGAGTCTCTCTCTTTCTCCATGTGCAAAATAAAAGTGTTGGGCCAGCTCACTAATTCTCAAAAAACATTCAAAGGAACAGTTGTCCTGTAGGATGGTAGCAGCTATTATATGGAATAGCTTTCCATGATTAATATTTTTAGAATGTTGCTGGACTGATAAAAACATTTTTTAAAGTGCAAGGCATTTTGGATCTTTACTAAAAATCCACCTTCAAGTTACTCAGGTAGGCAGAGTTCCCCAGGCTTATTCAGAAATGGAAAATACGTCATAGTGATAATCTTTAAAGGTCTTTCAGCTTCAGAATGCTGTAATTTTTTACCAATTTCCTTTGAGATGCATAATCAATGATTGACTCACTTTAGATCTCTCCTGCAGATATGATATGGTGGTTGATTTTTAACCACAGTGTTTAAGTGACTCAAAGCAAATGGCAACCCTGGGGGTCATTTCTTTAGTTGAGCATTTGAAGATAAATCAATCGAACTGAGAACAATTGAAACAATTTGTTCTTTTAAGACCAGACTAGGTTATTTCAATTACATTAATGATGTAAATAATGTGATAAAACCAACAGGCAGAACTGACTGCAGTGACTAGGGGGCCTTTTGGGGGGGGCATACATAGCTTTTGTTGGCATAGTTGCTATGAAGGTTTTCTGTCTGAACGTTTCAAGTAGCAAAATCCTACGCAGCACCCCCCACCCCCACCCCCACCAACACGCACTGTTACAGTTTTCATCCGTATGTGGTGGAGTTCTAGGTGCCTGACCCTCCCTCAGTGGTTCTCCACACTGGGGAGATGTGCAGGCTGGGGCAGCCTGTGTCTGCCACAGAGACAGACTGTTCCTTCCAATGAAGGGCCATTGTCTTTCCCTAATCAAAAGAGGTCACACTTGTTTGATCTACCTTTCTGCAAGCCTGGACGTGAATAACTTCAAACTCTTCATATCAATAGTTTCACCAAGACTATTTCAGCATCAGCATTAATATAAAGGGATGGAAAACACACTGGGTACTAACCAGGGAATCATTAGCATCACCTATGGGATTAAAGGGCTTCCCAGGTGATGCTCGTGGTAAAGAACCCACCTGCCAATGCAGGAGATGTAAAACATGAGGGTTCAATTCCTGGGTTAAGAAGATCTCCTGGAGGAGGGCATGGAAACCCACTCCAGTATTCTTGCCTGGAAAATCCCCATGGACAGAGGAGCCTGGCAGCCTACAGTCCATGGGGTTGCAAAGAGTAGGACATGACTGAAGTGACTTAGCAACCTGATGCAAAGAACTGACTCACTAGAAAAGAACCTGATGCTGGAAAAGATTGAAGGCAGGAGAAGAAGGGGACAACAGAAGATGAGACTGTTGGATGGCATCACCGACTCAAAGGACATGAGTTTGAGTAAGCTCTGGGAGTTGGTGATGGACAGGGTAGCCTGGCATGCTGCAGTTCATGGGGTCACAAAGAATCGGACATGACTGAGTGAATGAACTGAAACATGCTTGGCCTCACCACTGAAGATTTTGATGGTGGAGATCTAAAATGGGAGCAGGGGACTTCCCTGGTAGTCCAGTGGCTAAGACTCTTCAGGCCCAGTGCAGGAGGCCTGGGGTTTGATCCCTGGTCAGGGAACTAGACCCCACATACCACAAGTAAAGATCCAATGTGCCACAACTAAAGCCAAATAAATAAATAAATACTAAAAAAAAATAAAGTGGGAACAGGCATCAATATGTTAAAAAGCTTAACATATAACAACCCACATGCTCAATGGGAGACTGGATACATGAAATGTGGTGTATTCATTCAAAGGAAAGCTACTCAGTAATAAAAAGAAAAAATGTTTTTGTTACATGCAGCAACATGGACATCAGGTTAAGTGAAAAAAGTCAGTCACTAAATAATATATACAATGTAGAATTACCTTTTAAATGAAGTTTGAAAAATAAGCAAAGCTTAAAACTCAACATTCAAAAAAACGAAATCATGGCATCTAGTCCCATCACTTCATGGCAAATAGGTGGGGAAACAAGGGAACCAGTGACAAACTTCATTTTCTTGGGCTCCAAAATCACTGCAGATGGTGACTGTGACCATGAAATTAAAAGATGCTTGCTCCTTGGAAGAAAAACTATGACCAACCTAGACAGCATATCAAAAAGCAGAGACATTACTTTGCCAACAAAGGTCCATCTGGTCAAAGCTATGGTTTTTCTAGTAGTCATGTACGGATGTGAAAGTTGGACTATAAAGAAAGCTGAGTGCTGAAGAAGTGATGCTTTTGAACTCTGGTGTTGGAGAAGACTCTTGAGAGTCCTTTGGACTGCAAGGAGATCCAACCAGTCTACCCTAAAGGAAATCAACCCTGAATATTCATTGGAAGAACTGATGCTGAAGTTGAAACTCCAATACTTTGGCCACCTGATGAAAAGAACTGACTCATTGGAAAAGACCCTGCTGCTGGGAGGGATTGGGGGCAGGAGGAGAAGGGGACGGCAGAGGATGAGATGGCTGGATGGCATCACCAACTCGATGGACATGAGTTTGAGTAAACTCCGGGAGTTTGTGATGGACAGAGAGGCCTGGCGTGCTGCGATTCATGGGGTCGCAAAGAGTCAGACACGACTGAGTGACTGAACTGAACTGAACTGAACCTGTGCTAAAGTCCAAGAAATGATCATCTCCACCCAAGACATGGGCCCAATCCAGCTCAGCCAAGTTCCAGCTTCAAGAAACGGAACACTTCCCAGTTCTCTGCCTTATATCACACCGCTCCACAATTTTACCCTCCAGAATTTCTCACATCCTTTCTCTGTGGATGATATAACTCTGGAGAACTCAGCATACAACCACCAACTTAATAGTAAACAAATAGGTGTCCAGGGGCTGTGCTTCCATTCCTGTCTCCATTTCAGTGGCCACATCTGCACCCCTGGAAGGGGTCCCTTCTCTCCCAGGTCACCTTGTGGTTTATTGAGCACCTACTATGTGCTGGATCTTGGGGGCTCCTTTACCAAGGAGTTTCCTCATTTTCAAAATAACCCCGATAAGCTGATTTTTTTTTTTTACTGTCTTCCCCATTTTTCAGATTAGCAAATCGACTAAGAAGATGAATAATGGGCCTGGAGGTGGCATCAGGCCGGTTAAGTGGAGGACTCAGGGTTAGAACAGTGATTGCAAAACTCCTTACAATTTAAGGTCTTGTTTCTTCCTGAGTCTGAGGGGAAAAAAGCAGTGTTGGAAGGAGAGACACACACACACAGTGTTGGAAGGAGTGTAAAGGGGGCAAAGGTCCTTACTTGGCAATGCTTTTCAAGCCCAATTACCAGAATCCAAGTCAGTCAGGCCCCGCACACACAGGAGTCCCACGCTCTCTGGCTTGACCCTGCTGGTAGCTTAAAAGTGGCAGCTTCAGGGCGACTTTTGTTTGGTGTAACTTAGAAAACAAGAAAGAAGCAAGTGGAGGGTGTCGAGACGTCTTTCGTTTTAGGTTTGTGGCTCCCTGAGATCAGAGGAGTGGGTTCCTCTTTGGGGGTGGCGAGGCACAGGGGAGGCATTGGAGCAGATTCTGTGGCGTGTGTGTGTGTGTGTGCGCGCGGGTGTGTGTTGGCGCGCCTGTGCGTGGAAGGGGGATTGCTGTACCCAGCCGAGGCACTGGGGGAGGAGGAAGCGGTAGCAGAGATCTGAATAATTGATTCCTCAGCAGCACCAGACGCTTGGGAGCGGGCGGAGATCGTGGTTTCAGCACCACGGACAGCGGCGCACCCGCCTCCGGCGCCCCCGCCGCCAGCCAGCTTCCTACCCCGACCTTACCGCCGCCGTGCGCTCCGGGAGCCGGTGGCCGCGCTCTGCGCCGCCGCCGAGGGACTGCGGGGTCTGCCTCGGCCCGCCTCCGGGGAGGGCGGCTGCGGGCGGGAGACTCGCCCGCCGGAGCTCCAAGCCTTTTCGGCTTTCGCGGGGGCTGCAGCGTCTCGTCGACTGAGAACAAGTCCCCAAGTTGGCGTGGGGGGCGCCCCTGCCTTCCTCCTCCTCTTCCTGCGCGGCGACCGCAGCAGAAGCACGCCTCGGGAGCCCGGTTGAGCCAGTTCTGTGAACCAGGGTGGCCGGACTCCCGCCGGGAAGTGGGGAGCTGAAAGCCTGGCGTGGAGCTGGCCCCGCAGCTAAGGGCTTAGAGGGAGCTGCCTGTCCCCCCCGCCCGCGCCTCTCTCGGCCGGGGACCGCGGGGATCCCCGGCCACACGCGCGCGCGCGCTCCCACATCCACTCATACACACACTCGCCCTCACACATCCATCAGCCCGGAGCCGGGGCTGCGGAGAGGGCTCTCGCGCGCGCTCGGAGGACCGGGGCAGCGACTGTCCGGAGTGGGGCAGGAAGCCCAGCTCAGGCTCTTGGAGGGAGGCGCCGAGGGCTTAGCCGGAGCATGGGGCCCGCTGAACGCTGAGAGTCGCGGCCGCAGCCATCAGCCCTGGAGATGACCAGGGGCGGCCACTGCTGAGAACTATGTGGAGAGAGGCTGCGGTGAGTGCCGGCGCGGGACGCGGGGCCTCGGCGGCCCCTTTGGGAAGAGGACGGTGGGAGGCTTTCATAGGAGGGGCGACAGGGCTGCAGGAGGGTCGTTGCGTGGGAAACATCGCACCTCCCTCGGGGGTCCGGGGCTGAGGGAACCGGAGTCCTTCCCTCCCCCTCTCCTCCTGCCGGCACATCGCAAACTCAGCCCGCCCCCTCCCCCAGTCTCAGCCCCCATTCCCTCCTCTTTGTCTCCCTACCCCCCTCCTTGCTCAGAAGCTCCTGGCCGCACTACTCCCGGCTGCCGGAGCCGGGGAGGCGGCAGGGGGTGAGAGCCGAGGTGCCCTGTTAGCTTCTCGAGGGTGGCCAACCCGGGGCTCCGGTTCTCCTGTGCGCCCCGGGAGTGAAGCTCTCCATTTCGGCCCCACGGTTTTAGGAGCCGCACTGGGGGACGTCTCGGGCACGGAGCTTCAGATTCCCAGCTCGGGCCGAGCCCCCACTGAGCGCGCAGGGGGCGGGGGTGGGGTTGGGGGTGCTGTGTGAGCATTGCAGACTGCAGTCAGTCCCCCCCGTCCCTCCGCCTCCCCTCCCCCCGCCCGTGGGCTGACCCTGTCTCTCCGTCTCTTTCTCCGCCCCGGTAGAGCCCTGCTGCAGAGCCTCCGGCTGGGATAGCCGCCCCCCGTGGGGGCGATGCGGACTGCGCGGGACGGCCAGGGGAGCGCGCGGGGGCCGCAGCATGCGGGAACCCGCTAAACCCGGTGGCTGCTGAGGCGGCCGAGATGCTCGTGCGCGCAGCGCGCCCCACCGCATCCTCGACCTTCTCTGGCTACAGGTACGTCCCAGAGGGAAACCTGGGCCCCGCCGGGGTTCTGGGAGAAGGAACAGTCGGCCGGAGGAAGAGCGGGAGAAGGATCCGGGGAGAGAGGGAGCGAGAGAGAGAAAGCGGGAGAGGGCGCAGCAGGAGCAAGGCGCGGGAGGAGCACCAGGGGGCGCTGCGGCTCCGCGCTCGCGGGGCTCCGCCGAAGAGCCCCGAGGCCGGCGCGAGTTCGCCCCAACTTCCCCCCGGCGCCAGGCAGCGCTTGGCCCGAGGGGCGCGCGCCTGAGCACGGGTGCCTGACGACGCTGGTATCTGCTGGCGGGCGCGGTCGTGCACCTGGTGCGGTCCATGTGTGGGCACTGGCGGAGGACGTGTGTGGACTCCGGATGGCCTTGGGCCCCTCTACTGCGGGCCTGCGGAGGTGCGCAGAAATGAGCGCGTGCCTGTGAGGGTGCGCGGCCCACTGCCCACGTGCACCTAAGACTTGGTAACAGAATCTGAAGTGGGAAAGCCTGGGGTCGGGGGTCGGCCAGTGCTGCACAATTCACGTCCGTCCGAGAGCTTCTGGGGAGGCAACCTTCCTCCCCGCCCGGCCCCCAACCCACCTTACCCAGCCCCACGCACGTTCTTTGCTAGCTCCCACGCGTCGGCCCGCGGGGGAGGGGGGGACGTGCCTCCCCTCCAGAATTCTGCATTGCACACGGCGTGCGTGAGAGGTTGTGTGTATGTGTGTGTCTGAGCCTGTGTGTGCCCGCGTGCGTGTAGGGGGCGGGTCCTGGGGCTGCTGGCGGTCGCTTCCTGCCCCCTCTGAGCAAGGTGGGGCGGACCTTAAGTTTCCTCCAGGCACCCTGGATTCTCGGGCGCAAGAGCGAGCGTCCTCAATTCCATGCGCTTGGGGCGGTCCCTGCTCTAGAGGTGCGGGGTCTGCCGTGGGTGCTGATTAGCGCCAAGTGGGTGATGAACCCCGGTGGGTTCGCAGGGTGTGAGGCCAGTCAACTCGCCTTGCGCCTTCGTTCGGCCGCCCCCGCACGCCTGGGCTGGTCTGTACTTTGCGCCGGGTTCGCAGGGGGCGGGGTCGGTAACTTAGACTCGCGGGGGTGGGAGATGGGTGGGTGGAGGGTATGCTTTGCGCGCCTACGTTAGGGGCCGTCGCCAAGTGGTCCCACTTAGGGAGTGCGGCGGGAGATGTGGGTTGAGTCGAAGAGAGAGAGGAGGCTGAATGAGAGGGTGGGTTTGGGGACAGTTACAGAGAATCAGCTCGGATTGGAGTTGTGGACAGAGTTGTAGACGGGTCGAGGGACGTGGATGGCCAGGGGATGGGGAATGGAGTCGGTGACTCCAACAGCTCTCCCTGGGGTGGTTTCCCTATCTGGCTCCTGGAGCAAGGGGCTACGTCGGTAAACCCCCTCCTCTAGAACCCCCGCGCACCGAAGCGGGCTGACTCTTCCTCTCCACCTTGCAGGGACCGTAAGTGGCGACTATGGGCAGACTGGGCTACTGGACCTTGCTGGTGCTGCCGGCCCTTCTGGTCTGGCGCGGTCCGGCGCAGGGCGCGGCGGCGGAGAAGGGTCCCCCGGCGCTGAACATCGCAGTGCTGCTGGGCCACAGCCACGACGTGACGGAGCGGGAACTGCGAAACCTGTGGGGCCCCGAGCAGGCAGCCGGGCTGCCCCTGGACGTGAACGTGGTAGCGCTGCTGATGAACCGGACGGATCCCAAGAGCCTCATCACGCACGTGTGTGACCTCATGTCAGGGGCGCGCATCCACGGCCTGGTGTTTGGGGACGACACCGACCAGGAGGCCGTGGCCCAGATGCTGGATTTTATCTCCTCACAGACTTTCATTCCCATCCTGGGCATCCACGGGGGCGCATCTATGATCATGGCTGACAAGGTAAGGCTGGGAGGCGATGGGCTGTCAGGACCCCAGTGCACGCCAGTCATATGGCAGCCACTGCAGGTTTTTGGGAGCCCCTGGCCTCCGTGCTAATCTGAAAGGGGGTTGTGGCCACCGACCCTAAGGAGAGCCAGGTCCTCCTTCTCCAACCTGGAATCGAATGGAAATGCTTTTTGCTTTGGTTCTGAAAGTGGGGGTGTTCGGAGGCACCTTGGGTGTGCCAGGAAGAACTCAGTAAATGCAGAAGTAAATGGGGTGGTGGAATTCTTAGAGATGGCTAGGTGGTGCACAGAGGTGAGCCTGGCGGCAACTTGAAACAATAAGTTTTATATTCCTACAGTATTAGTTTTACCCGATTGTGTTGTGGCAAATGTCCATTTTTTCCCCTACTAAAAGCCATGGAAACTATTTTTAAAGGATCAAAGGTGGGGATATTGTGGAATAAAATGCAAAGTTTTAGGTAAAGCAGAAAAAAGCAGAAAAATGTCCTGGTTCCACAGACTCTCTACAATTAGAGGAAGTGGGGTAGGAGGTCTGAGGAGCCCTGGGATAATAGCACACAGGTATGGGTTTCTCCAAGGGAGTGGCTGTGAGTGGAGAGAAGGGACTGCTGACCCAGAGATGGAGGCGCTGGGTGTTCCTACATGTTACCTGGGTGGGACGGCTGGGGTCCGAGGCCCTCAGATGGAGGGCTTGGCTCCTAAGGATGGGTTTTGATAACGTAGTTGGAGGGTGTCCCAATGAAGGAAAGGTGTACAGATCTCTTGGCTTAGAGTGGGAGGGAGGGTCTTTCTGTGGATCACCTGGGGGTATTGGTGTGGAGAAGAGGGGTCTGGAGATTTGAGTGAGATGTTCTGAGAGCCTGGTTTGAGAACTGTGCAGAAGAGCAGGTGGGAAAGGAAAAGCAAGGTGAAAAATGAGAAAGAAGGGGAGGGTTGGTGTTTGTGGGTGCCCTGTGCTTCTGTCTAAGCCCTGGAAGAGAAATGGGAGGGGGTGTCAGGAAGGGAAGTGTGAATGTACTCGTGCGCTGTGGATCCCCCCAGTCCTGAGACCTTATTGGAGTGTGTTCCTTAGATAGCAGGAGACATCGTAATGGAGTCAGCAGACTTTTGTCATAGCACTTTGCTTCTGATGCTCTCAAAGCACTTTTACATTCATCAAATCAAATACTACTTCTGCCTCAGCAATTCCCACCAGCTCCTTTGGGAACCGTATTAATTCTTTCAGGTCTCCTGGGCTGCGGCACATTCTGTTGAAATACACAACTGATGTAGAATCTTATTAAACATTCATTTTAAATGGTTTGCAACCTAGCAGAATTCCTATGTGTGGTTGAGTATTTTCCCAGCCACCTCTCAGTTCTGGGGGGGTTCCTTTCTGGGAAGAAATAAGTAGGGAACAGCTGTGTCTTGCCACTGATATGTGGCCATTTCAGAACTGGCAAAGGTCTTAGTCTATTAGAGCTTCCTGTAGCTTTCAGGTGAAGAGATTCAGGCTCAGGGCAATTAAAGACTTAGCTAAGACCACACGGTACGTGATGGAACTAGATCTCTGGTTTTCTGGTCCTCTGGTTTCTGACGAAGGCACAAAGAAGGATAAGAACAGCATTTCCCAGCAGGGTTTTGGAGTGTGACTTTGGGATTTAAATATTACCACTGATTCCTTCTCCCTTCTAAAGTTTTGATGGAGCAACATGCACTTAAACAGGAGCCATATTGAAAGTGAAATTTCTGTATCGACTAGGCCCAGCACAATCAGTGGAGAAATATGGTAAAACCTGAATAGGAGAAGTGTTGGCAGGTGTGGGGCTCGGCTCTTACCTGACTTACCCATCTGACTATAGGCAAAGAAGCAGGAACAGAAATGGGCTTATAGTTAGCATCCCCTTCATAAGCAGTGACCCGTCCACGTCAGGCTCTGATTTACTAGACCTCTAAGAGGGTATTAGGAAGGGAGTTTTGAGAAGTCCAGAGGATAGGGTGGAAGCATCTTCTCTTGTAGAATAAAACTGCCTTATGGGGATTGGACATGACTGTGACCCCACTTAAAGAAGAAAAAGGACCTCAGGAAAGGGCAAGAGGAAGATGAGAAAGGACGCTTTCAGAGATGTCAAGATGAGAGACTGATTTAAGAGGGGTGGAGAGGAGAGGAATAAAAGGGTGCCTTGGCTCAAAAATGGTGAAAGGAGTTGGATAGTCTTCATTACCGTTGGGGCTTTCTGAGTTGGTCTTGATGGCAGGGAATCAAAGAAGCCGAGGGATAACATTCGGGTATATGTTGGATCCCCTATGGGGGATGTGCAAGTGATGTTAAGAGGAGTGGGGTTGAGGAGTGGGATTTCGAGAAACCTGATTGTGTTAAAAAGAAAGGAAAGAGATCGTCTGGGATGTGAACAGCCCTCCCTCCATTAGTAACGTGTTGAGTTGACTTGTGTCTTTGCTGCCTGTTTCTGCGGAGTTGCAGTTTGGCTCTGAAGAAGCAGTCATGGGCATTGCCTTGTTCGGTTGGGTGTGCCCCCGGTCTCGTGGCCACAGAATCTGAGTCTCCCCAAACCACTAAGACCTCTCTGTCCCCCCCCTTAAGATGACATCATTTGGTAAAGCCCAGCACATACCTGTGTTGTTTGCATTTCTCAGTTGGTAACATGATCCGGTCTCGGTGAATAAGAATGGCAGTTAATTTGACTATCAATTAAATTGAGCCTCTCTCCCCAGTTCTTACCTTTTCCCCAATCTTCTTTACCCTTGGTTGGGTGGGGGGGGCGGGGGGGGGAAGAACAGAGCTTTGTAATAATTGAAATGTGTTAAGTGGCAAATTTTTGTGGTTTAATTTAATTTACAATGGAGATATTAATTTTTGCTTCTATCACTGGGTGTTCTTAAAATATAATTAATTTAGAGGTGAGAATAATGCTCAACATTGATAGAGTTCTAACCTTATCTTGGTTTGGCCATTTTGATCCCATGCACATGAAACACACTCTGGTTTTGCTAACAGCCCTAGTAAATCAAGCACAGATACTGGACCTTTATGTTGTTGCTCAACATCCTCACCTCCTCTCCTTCCACCCTTATTCCTAACTGCTCCACTGGAGGGAAAAGGCAAGGCTTACATTTTAGCTACATCTATCCATGTCAGTTACTGTGTGGGTTTTGCTTTATATATTATTGCTATATATACTTTTTTATCTCCTCTACTGGAGTGTAAGTTCCTTGAGGACAGATTTTTTTTTAAGTGTTTATGTGTATATGTATATTTGAAATAATGATATTCCTCCTCCACAGACAGCTTATAAAAATAATGTCTTTTCATTACAGAGCACTTAGAAAGTATATTAAAGTTTAAAGAAGAAAATAAAAATCTCCCTTTAAATCTTATCGCCAGGGGTAACCACTGTGGATTCTTGGATCTATTTCGTTTTAAGCTTGAGTTATAAGTTCAGGATTATATTGTGTGTATATGTTGTTTTGTTTATTGTACTTTGCATCCTGTGGGCTTTCTTACAAGATCCAGGTTTTTTGTTTATCCTGGAAGAATCCCAGCCATTATCTGTTTGATGTTTCCTTTCTAACGTTCTCTTTTTCTCTATATTTAGTCTTTCAGTAATTTCTGTATGTATCTAAAGCATTTTTTTAAGTTCTCTGTCTCTCTGTGTTATGTTTGTACGGTGTTTCCTCAATTCTTTATTCTCGTTAACCGGTTCTTTTCATTTGTGTCTAGTATATTATTTTGCCTATCTGCGGAGTCTTTAATTTCAACACTGATTAATTTAATTTCTAAGATACAAAACGGTTTTCTGCTTTTGTTTTATTGAAGCAATACCTTCTCATACCTTCCTGCTTTTGTTTTATTGGAACCTCTTCTCACTTTGTGGATGTGAATCCTCTCTGTCCCTTTGAGGATTTAAAAAATACTTCTTATGAAGTCCTCTGATTGCTCTAGCATCTTTTCTTCTTCCCGTGTGAATTCTTCCATTTTGTAGAATTTGATAATTGGATAGCCTCATAGGCTCTCGAATTTTTGTTTGTGAACTTATTGTCAAGGCAGTTTTATGGCTTCTTCTGCCCTGTAGCTGTAAGCTGGTGTGGTTTTTAACCAGAGCTCTTGTCAGCAACTCAGCTCCGAGCTCTTTTTCTGCTCTATACACTCTGGTGCAGGCTTGGGTCCTGCTTTCCCGTAGGGGCTCTCATTCTGGTTCTGTTACACATGCAGGGATGTTCTTGTGGCTGTGACTCGTGGTGGATGGTGCAGACATTTCGTCCCCATTCACGGTTAGCTGCGTGGTTTGGGTCCAGCTCTGCCCCTTGTCCCCTTGGTAGATCTTGGGACCTCTGCTCCTGTGGGTCATATCAGACTTACTCCCCCATGCACTTTGATCCCTCCTGAAATTGTAGAGTCTCATCTTTTGATTCATTTATTTTTAGGTAGGGCCTTCTATTTTTAATCTGTGATTCCCTTATTTTCAAGCAGCATTTTATAAATTTTGAGATCTCTAAAGTTTGATCTATAAATTCTGTGTCTTAGGAGCAGAAGAGGGAGGCAGCTGAATGTGTTCACTGTGATTTTGACCCAGTTATATTTCACAACCTGCTTTTCTTTCTTTCAGATTTGATTACATAGTCTTGGAAATTTTCCTTATCATTAAACCGACTTCTCAAACATGATTTTAAATGGTGCAGAATGTTCTGTTTATACCACAATGATTTAAACTTTTCTTCTGTTTCTTCCCACCTTTAGTAAGGTTGGTTTCTGGTCCACGTGTGTGTTCTTTTGGGCACCTTGCACTGATCTTTGCTTTTTGCCTTCGTTTCTGGGTACATATATGGTGATTGAGTGAATCAAGTCACTGGTTTGGATGCCGACTTGCTGCAGTTTCTGGAAGAACTTACCTTGCTGTGGGTCAGGGTTTCCCATCTTTTGTTTGTTCCCAAATGCTGACTGATTTCATGGGCGTGTGTTAAGTCTCCTCTTTTCTCCCGTGGGCAGGTAATTACTAG